TGAGAGTGTGGGAGCCTGCCGGACACTCAGTGGCAACTCATTCCACAGTCGTGGACCTGCAACAGAGAAAGCCCTGTCACCTCTGAGCTTACGACGGGTTTCTGGGACTGAGAGAAGCATCTGGTCTGCTGACCTCAGAGAGCGCGGTGGGACATATGGCTGCAGAAGATCAGTGAGATAGGATGGGGCGGAACTGTTCAGTGATTTAAAAACATACATGAGAATTTTGAAATGGATCCGAAGGTGAATGGGTAGCCAGTGCAGGGAGGCCAAAACTGGCGTGATGTGCTCTCTATAGCCTGTACCAGTTAAAAATCGGGCTGCAGCATTTTGGACCAGTTGTAGACGAGCAATGGAGGACTGACTGATTCCAAACAAAAGTGAATTGCAGTAATCAAGCCTAGATGTTATGAAGGCGTGGATCACTGTCTCAAGGTTCTTCTTGGAGAGTATAGGCTTCAGCTTAGACAGCCGTCTCAGCTGAAAAAAACAGGATTTGACCATCATGTTTACGTGACTGTTGAGTTTTAAGGACGGGTCCATTATCACCCCCAGATTAGTCACCTTTTGTTTCTCTAGCGGGGCTAGAGAAACAAAAGGTCAATGTCATGGTTCATGAGTGAGCCACTGGGATGGAACAGCATGACTTCAGACTTCTTCTCATTGAAGCTTAAGAAGTTTAAAGCCATCCAGTCCCGGATGTCAGCCAGGCAGTCAAGAAGAGGCTGAATAGAGCGTGTGCCTCTGTGCCTCAGGTCCAATGTGTCATCATTTCAGGACTCTTGGATTCTCATAGAGGTTATCCTTGGCCATTCCTCGACATCCCTCGAGAATGTTTATGGATCTCACTGGAGGACATTGACTGATTACAGTGACCTCGAGAGCATCTATAAGCGTTGTTGACCGCTCTCGTCTCTGATGCAGAACGTCTACGTAAATATGTGCTTGTTTGTGCGAGGTGTTTTTTTTAATGTTAGAGGTTTTTTTCTCAGGCAAGAAAAAAAAGTCTGATAGAATTTTTTTGCCTCCAACTCCTACATGTGTCCAGTTAACCACTGTGTTTTGTCTGTCCAAACAGGTCTCACTTGTAAATGAGTCTTCGATGCTCAATGTGATTTATCTGTTTAAATAAAGGTTGAATGAATGAACCAGATGATCTGTGTTTTGAAACTGTATGCTCCACACTGGTTAGTTATCATTTTTATTATCTGCATCGTTTTTATGTCTATATTCTGATTTACCTCATTTTATATTTTGCTTTGTGTGTTGCCTGTTGTTCTGTCTGTACAGCACTTTGGTTGGCCTTGTAGCTGTTTTAAGTGCTCTATAAATAAAATGGTATGGTATGTATGGTATGGTATGGTATGGTATGGTAGGGATGGTTAAGTGTCCTCTCCAAAGGAAACGGAAGATTCCACTGCAGAGGCAGCGGGAATATAACTATAAAAGGCAGTTTTTCAGGCGGGTCTGATACAGTAGGAGTCCAGCAAAACGCTGCTAACACTCTGCTGGCATCTTGTGCTCTCTGGACATCTAATTTGAAGTATTTTTAAAATGTACACCAAGTCAATAAAATCTGTCAATTTAACCGTTGTAAAGACTTGATTCTTCATAAAAACAAATTAATAAGATTTTGTTTGATTTGACTCATCTCAATTTGTTCTAATAAAATTAGAAGCAAAGTTAAATGAAATGTAAACTTTTCTCAATTTGATCAGATGGTTTGCAACAACCTTACCAAAAAACACCTCTGACAATACAGAACTATTAGATCTTAGTCTGTTCATAAAATGTTATCTGTGATGTAGAATTCACAAATAATAATAAAAAAAAAAACAACAAAAAAGGTTAAATCGTGTCATCTGGACCAGTTTATTTAAGTGAGAAATGTTTCGTCCCCCATCCAGAGGACTTCCTCAGTCTACGGTCTGCCAACCAGATCTGTCCCATAGGTAGCCTTCACTGCTGTGTTTCAAGCCAACCTCCTGCTTGAATCTCAAAAGTAGGCTTGTAACATGTGCAAAACACACCCATCCAAAACATTCATCATGTACAACAATCGTTGGTTACGTACTGTAACCCCAGATTCTATGAGTATAGGCGTAGCTAAGTGACAGCCTTAAAGGGCGAAGCCTATACGAAATAGAACAAATGTTTTAGGCCAGAAGGCCGACTTGCTACTCACAGAAACAGCCTGAGGACACCAAGGCCAAAGTGGTTCAGATAAAGTGTAGATAACCAAAAAGGTTAAACTGTGTCATCTGGACCAGTTTCTTTAAACGAGAAACGTTTTGTCCCATCCAGAGACATAATTTAATCTTTTTTGTTGTTACTGTATCTACCTGGATGATTGAGCTTACAACCCTTTTTCTGAAACATCAAAAACCTTTTTCTTTAACTTTATTCATGTTTTTCCTGTTTTTCCAGAAAACACAGTGACGTATGTGCACATACAGTGCTTAGTCTTGTTTCATAAAAAGAAAGCTGAGTTATATAACAAAAGACATGTCTCAAACACAATGTTATGTCATTGTTTTACATATCAAATGAACCAAAATCAATTACATGTGAAAAAAATCTCAGTAGCTCTGTTGATGACATTTCCAGTAGACGAGAACAAAGAAAAACTTCATTTAATATCAAATAATTTATCCATAAGTAAACAAGTCAAAGATGATCATTTGGAGATGAACTTTTGGACACAAACTGAACAAAACAATAGCTTTGAGCACTTTTCTGTCAACTTTTTAAAAAAATGAATTTAAAACTAAAGCAGAAAAACTTAAGGGAGCTGTGAGGTTTCATTCTTAAACGTCTCAAACATCTGCATACACGTTGATCCTCAGAAGGTCTTTACACTATAGTGACATGTCTGTGTTTCATGAAGCCTGAGTCACCTGCAGTGTTGTCCACGCCAGGTGTCTAGAAATAAAAAACAAATAGATTTCATGACATTGCATATTTATTTTGCCGACTTTTTGCAAAACAGTAAAGACTCGTTCCTCAAGTATCATGTATAAAGTGGAAATTATTTTTGCATTAATCTAAGTCAAGTTTTTAAGATAATTACCATTTGAGTTATATTTTTATAATGGAGCATGTGATAAGTTAAAAAAAGACTAAATCTTGAATGAAAAATTACCCTTTCAATTAAATATCATATTGGGCAAATTCAACAGAACGATGTAAAACAAAGTGAATTGTTGGAGAAATACAAATATTCAAAAAAGTTCAAGACAAAAACAACTGGACTTTATTTGTAACCGAACACATTTCGCTTCTCATCCGAGAAGCTTTCTCAATTCAAAGAACACAAACACATACAGCACATCCTTCTCTTCCACATCTGCCTGAAACTGTATTACTTCAGGCGAGCATCCAGAGCTATGAGGCATTGTCTCTATAGAGCCTTAGCTAAAGATACAGGAAAGTTGTGGTATTTCTTTGAAATATATTTATTCTTTGCACATTTCTGTTGTTTCAACATTTAGACAATTTCTGTTTGGATTGCCGTGATCTTATAATAAAAACTTCTGGCCTCATCATCCAAGAGGACGCTGCTACACATAGTTTGTGGTCCTCAACCCCACCCCCAACCCAGTTTATTCCATCCATCCATCCATCCATCCATCCATCCATCCATCCATCCAT